CCAAGTTCTACCATACCCACAGATTTTAAACAACGATTACAATGAATTTAAGTATCAATAGCTGGAATAAAGAATTTTATAATTGTCCATAAATATTGTATAAAAATCGATCACATCTTATTTGCTTGTATTTTACCAAGGGACAGCATTCTTACCCATAGTAACTGGATACACATGCTTACAGTCTGATACACAGTTTAGAGTAACTAAATTTAGGGGAAAAGTGGAGATGCCATTAAAAAAGACTCCTCTTGGCTCCTGCTTCCATAAATGAGCAGAAATACTTTACTATGATGAAGAAGCATGAAGAATTAGTAGACGTGAAGTTAATCAAAGAGGAATGTAAATTTGTAAGACAAGAAAAGATGATGTCATTCTGGGACTAGGCAGAACTTGAGAATACACACTGTATCATGGAGTGACCTGGAGCTGCAGAGGTGACTGACAGCATCCAACAATAATTATTATTCAGTACAATGTAAGATGGACTAAACTCCTGGTTATCTTGGCCACATGTCAATGGCTGACACAGCAATGTCAACAAGGAAGAGGTGAGGCCTGGAGGAGCAGTTGGTAGGCTAAAAGGCAAGGTAACAAGGTGGAATCTATTAATGGTTTTGGTGGGTGGGGTAGGTGAAGGTGTAGGGTTGGACAGTTGATGACTCTAAGAAGTAGCTCAGAGAAACGGATATAAAAATCACCCTAATCAAAGAAACCACGAGAAGGCTGGGATTCCCAAAACATGGGCTTGGTTATCTCTTACACTAGAGGCTCTATTTTTGCAACTTGAGTAGCAAAATCTCTCCAAACTTGAGCCGTGTGCTGGACAATGTTATTGTGAAAGTCTAGGTGGCCAGCCAAGGAGTTGTTTGCCAAATGGAAAAGGACTAAAGTCATCGCATTAAAAGATACATTGTATCATACCTAGGATTTAATCTTGGCAATCTTACAATTTCAATTATGTATAATTGTTCCTGTAATGTTCCATTTGCTTTGAAATGGATATAAAGACCAGAACCAACATGCATAATTTCATCACAAGCAGCTCTGCAGTGGCCCCCCTCACTGCACTGTGACCTTGCGGGGATGGGCGCTATTCAGGGGTACCGATTTTTTTTGATGTTGTAGGTGATGCTGTGGTGAAGACAGGAGAGAGTTTTCAGACAGAATATTCAAAGATGGAGGGAACATTTCCTTTGTATTTTTTAAAGAATATTTTTAGTTGTAGATGAACACAATACCTTTATTTTATTTTTTTATTTTTATGTGGTACTGAGGATCGAACCCAATGCCTCACATGTGCTAGACAAGTGCTCTACCACTGAGCCATGACCCCGCCACTACTTTGTATTTTAATAATTGATAGATAATCTAGTCATACAAGGTATATAATTCAAATTTTACTTCTTGGAAGCAGTGAAGCTATGACAATAAAGTCAGACTATGACAATGAGAACTTTACCGTCTCTCTTGAGGTGGCATAATGCTGATCAGCACATATGCCTTGGGCAAGACACTCAGAGCTCAGCAGATGATTAGCTTTGCCTGCTTTGCTGTGTGATGAGTCCATGGTGACATCAATGAATTGAGAACTCCAGTTCTCTTGTTTCACAGAAGAACTGAAAGCCCTGGGCAAGAAGTTGCTTTCTTGATTGAGGTTCCCTATTTGCTTGTGATTGATTCTGAATTAAAAACCATTCTACATGAATTACCAAACCATCACTCTCCTTTTACTACACCACAGACTAAGTGCACACACATGCTAAATAAACATGCATACACACATGTACACGCACACACACCCCATTCATAGTGTAGAATCTAAGGTGCACTTGGCTGTTATCTATCAAACAGTGACCAACTGACTTGGTCAGAGAAAGGTGCCCGATTCGGCAGAGTTGGGTGTGTAAATATGTGCTTGTATGTGTGTGTGTGTGTGTGTGTGTGTGTGTGTGTGTGTGTGTTTTTGACTGCAGTGTGTGGCAATGCATTGATGAAGCTCTAGGGCTTCTTCACTGTTATTTTTTTTT